TCAATGAAGAACTAAATCACCGAACTAAACAGTTCGGAGACTCAGTCAGCAGCAAGGCAAGAAGCTGGAACAAATTTGTAAACATTGCTGTTCACTGGACAAACATCCAATACTTTTTGGCGGCTAATAATTACTTTAAAAAAAGTAAGATTTAACTTCCGAAAGTATTGGAAAAATGCCAGAAACCAAAAGAATTTTTGCTTGGCGCCTCTCGTTCTCCCGTAATCCGGTAGTAATAAGATAATCTTATTGTCCTTCAATAAATTAGTCTCAGAAGAATGTTTGATGGATGGTGAGGCGAGTATGAAGGAGAACGGAAAGAGGAAGCAAAAAGATTGGATACGAGTATACATTTTTTTTTTACCTTTTTTTTTTTGAAACGTTGTTGTGCAGAATTGCCTCAGTAATTTAGAGTAACCTTGATAAAAGGTTTCCAGCACAGAACTGAACATTGACAAAACTGAAAAACTTAGTTTTTTTTTTGGTGACTATTTGCTTATAACTTGCTCCAGACTCCTTGATATACTTTATTTTCTCTTATTAAACTTATTCTTTACACCACGTTGCATATCAATTTCTTTTCACCTTTTTTGTTTTTTTTGGCCTCCCTTCAGAGCGAAAATCCTGTCACCGCACCGCAGTGGGGTCAGTCCTCTATTCTCGCCAGCTCCAGTTATTTTAGATCCATAACTGTATCGCTTAGGCACTTTGAAAGCGTTGTTAAAGCTGAGATCGTAGGTCTTCCTCATTCTTTTTGCACTTCGTCACCCACACAAGATTCACTATATCGAATTTACAAGGATCATTAAAAGAACTCCACTGTCTTTCTACTGCTCCTCTCCTCTGCACCCAACGTATGACGTTGTCCACCAAATATTTTCCAGTTGTCCTTATTGAAAGATAACTGATTAACGGCTATACCTCGCGATTGTAAGGCCATCAACAATATACATAGGTTTTCAGGGGATTCCATTTCAAACTGAGCACCTTTTTCACTCGATACGTCAGCCTTTTTAAACTCATGTAAATGATAAGAAGTGAAAAATGCAGAGGTCATTTTATTACCACTTCTTAGTGGAAAGTTGCAGCTTTGCTACCTTACTCACAGAATCAAGTAACTATGAAGTCTTCTTGAAGAATGACTTCAGTATTTCGTTGATTTTGAAATCTAACGCTTTTAAATCGCAAAAACAATGTAAAAGTATAATCTTTCAAAGAGGGTCATAGAAATTATTTTTTTTGGCAAGAATTCAAAAAAATTACAAAAATTGGTTTCTTTCCAAAGTTAACATACATGGTACGAAGTTTTTGATGTGGATCCGTTGTAGTCCAGAATATGGTCGATTTGTGGACATCCGGATGAGATTTTGCTTGTTCGTGAGCATCAAAAAATGATGAAAATAGTTTAGTCTACAATTGACTCCGACCACTGTTCGTTCCTGTGAGTGATTATGGGGCAAACATCACTTGTGAACATTTGAGATTGATTTGTTTGTTCGGCTGTTGGCTTGCGTATTTGCTGCTGAATCTGCAAATGTTATACTACTATTTATGAAAGAATAGTCTATGAAAGAATAGTTCCGTGTTGCGTTTTAGAGTGGATTTAGGGTTCCGTACGCTATAAAACACAAAGTGTAGGCTGTTGGAAATAGTAAATTTGAAATTAGGTGTTTCTTATTTGGTGTACAAAAAATAGTGTTGTGAACAAAATACTTTTCATTTAAATGTCTGTCCTGTAAATTGTGAAGTACGACAAGGTCTGTTCTTATGTTAAGACTGCAAGTTCTTTTTTAATTAGCTGAGAGAAGGAATAAATATCAGTTTGAGAGGATCTCAACACAATTGAGACTGGATGAATTTCTGGGTTTTCGACAAGCAGCTTGGTTCTTTTTACTTAAAATGCGCTGCATATAATCTCATTGGAGGTAATGGTTTATTACAATTTCGTTCAAGAAACAAAAATTACTCTTTTTGAAAGCAAATGACATCTGTTGGCGACAAATTATTTCTTTCCTACGTTATACAGGTTAGAACTGTTTTTTAAAATTGGATACTCGAAGACCAGTAATGGGTTTTCAAATTTTTTTTGCGGTATCTCATCCTTTGTTTACCATTTAGTAAAACGACATTTATTTTTGCAATAGTTTCGTGATTTATTGTTATGTTGTTAATGGATTAGTGGAAGAAAGATACACAGATAAAATTTGCCTCATTTTTTAAAATTTTTCAGTAAGAAATGTAAAGTGATATATCGAGTTAGTCTTGAACGTATTTGAGGGATTGCAGTTTTGTTTAACTTGGTTGCACCTTAACTGTCAGAGTAATTTTTCAAGAATTAGAGCCGGTTCATCAGTCTAGAGACTTAAACAGCTTTCGAAGAAACTGTGCACAAGTTTGAACTTTGAAGATAATGTTGCATGTTGTTCATTTTTATTCATTTTAGTAAGACTTGAAAAATTGATGGGCTTTTGGTACTGTACTCTAATTTGCCGAAGCAAAAATATATGCAAATGAGAGAAAATATGAGAAATGACAGAGGAAGAGAGAGGTTCAGTAGCAAAGCGAGGGCAAGTTTTAACTGGAATGGAATAACGGTTTGGAGAGGATTCAAGTCACTTTTGCGAGACCTTCTCATATTCGTTTTGGTAGTCGAACATAGGACTGACGATTTCATCAGAATTACAAAAGATTAAGATTACAAGTTAATGTATTAGCGTTTTCACCATGCTATGACTGGGAAAGCAACATATGGTTTTTGTTGAAGGTAAAAGGTGCAAAATTTTTTTAAAGGATTTTTACGCTCTTAACTAATTTTGATTTCGACTGTTTCATATTAGTAGAGCATTGCTAACTCATGATTAAAGAGGCTAAAAAAAACTTTGTTTTTCTCAGTGACAGTATAGAGAGATAATGACGAAAAAAAGAGCAGGTTTCAATCAGTTAGTTTATAATATAACAGTATTATTTTGTATTTAGAACGTTTTGGTTATCAACTTCAATTCTTATTAGTTTTATGAAATCTGAAATATTTATGAAGTCCTTATTGCATTCATCGCTGTCTCCCATTGAATATGAGTTAATTTTAGGAATTTAGCGACTAAGTTGCATTTCCATTTCTTAACATGAACGTTTTATGATTTGTAGATAGAAGTTACAGTAAGAGTTGAATAGTACTTCT